AAAAAAAAAAAAAAAAAAAAAAAAAAAAAAGATAAACAAAGTGTTGGGTGTAGCTCAGTATGAAGGCCCTGGCTTCAATCCCCAGTAATGGGCATCACTCACCCACCCCCAGCCCCAGAAAACAACTTTTTTTCTTTTTTGGTTTTTTGAGACAGATTCTTACTATGTAATTTGGGCTGGCCTTCAATTCACGGAGGCGATCCTTCTACATCAGCCTCCTGAATGCTGGAATTACAGGCTTGCACCACCACACCCAGCTAACAACTATTAGTTTCAATGTGAATCTATTTTATAAGAAAATAATTTGTTTGGAAACAGTAGTCAATACGGAACAATGGCCACTCAAAGACATTGCCCTCCAAACCCTAAAATATGTGAATATGCTACCTTACATGGCAAAATGGATTTCGCAGATGTGATTAATGTTAAGGACCTTAAGATGGGAAGATAATTAGATTATTGCGTTGATCTGATAAAGTCATTAAAACAGTGCAACCTTCTAGACTTCATTCAGAGACGGATGTGCTGTTGCAGAAGAACCAAAGAAATCCCACACTGCTAACTTTGAAGACAGAAGCAGAATTCCCAATGAGGAAATGTGAATATCCTCTAGCACCTGGTAAAGGCAAAGAAATGAATTCTCCCGAAGAATCTCCAGAAAGCAATGCAGTCCTAACAACACCTTTATTTTAACCCGGTGAAATCCAATGAAGCCTCCTGAACTGTAAAATAATAAATTTATGTTCTTTTAGGCACTTAAATTGTAGTTGTTATGGCAACAATAAGAAATTTTGAAACATATTAGAAGTAATATCTACTATTAATAGAGCTACTAAATGCTTACAAAAAGTGTAAATATGATATAGGAGGTAGGGCGTGGCCAAGTGGGCAGGGATATAAGCGAGACCTGTCAATCACAACACCCCAGGACAGCACCCAATTCCCAAGACCCCGTATGTGGAACTTCTTGCTGGCTCCCACGAGATGTGGAACACATAAAACAGACAAGCAGTCAGGAGGACCCCAATGTCAGGATGAACTCCTTTTATTTTTGCTTTTATCCTTTGCTCTCTTTGTTCAGCCAAAGTTTGCTCTACAGAGGTACTTTTTCACTTACCCCTTCACTCAGAACTTTTTAAACCAACTTTTGGCACCGATTTTGGCTTGTCTCTTCAAAGCCTTTGTTTGAGG